TGTGTGTGTGTGTGTGTGTGTCTCTTTAGTAAAAATGTCAAAACAAACACGAGTTTTCTAATGTGGTGCAACTCTAGAGGTAAGGTTTTGTGTACTAAATTAGTCCTGTTATGTGAACTGCTCTGTGTTAACATAAAAGTCAGAAAGTGGTGAACAGAATGATACATCTTTGTCGTGTCGTGTCATTGCAGTTTGCACCTCACCACCTTCTGCCTGCAGTACAGGCCCACCATTGTTGCATGTGTCTGCATCCACCTGGCCTGTAAATGGTCCAACTGGGAGATCCCCGTGTCCACAGACGGGAAACACTGGTGGGAGTACGTGGACCGCACCGTGACACTCCAGCTGCTAGATGGTAGGACCTTAAATCATGTCTTTTAGTAAACTGCGCTCATGGTTGTTGTCTTCTGAACGAGTCTACAGTAAATGTGGTGGTTGTTGCTTTCAGAGCTAACCCACGAGTTTCTTCAGATTCTGGAGAGGACGCCCAGTAAGCTGAAGAGGATCCGGAACTGGAGGGTACGGTTTAGGACATTTTGTCTAATTTTTTTCTCAACCCAAGATAAAGCACAGAGTTGGAGGCTTTTTTTTTTTAGTTTTGCTCAAGTCACAATCTCACTGGGCTGAGACTGACTAGTCAGCAGATTTTTAGCTAGATGGGCGTTGTTTTGAATCAATCTCCAAAATGTTGGTTTCTTAAATTTCCTCTAATTAGTCATGCTGCTTTAAGTTGAACATGTTATGAGTCTCTGACTCATCTTAAACCCTCGATTTAGTTACTGTTGGTTCAAGAGAAGACCAAAACCATGCATGTTAGGTTCACTGGTAACTCCAAACCGTCAAGGTGGGAGTGTTTGTGTCCCTGTTATAGACCTACATGGGAGCTCTCCTTTTCACAGAAAATCTTCTGACCAGGTCTAAAAATCACCAATAACTATCATTATTGAACTGCTCTGAACCCATTAACAAAGTGTTGATTAAGTCATGAACATGGAGGCAGACGTTGAGGTGAACCAACACAACACAGCTGTACACATTAAAATATGATCAACATGGCTGCAAAAACAGAATTTAGTGAGACTGTAACTGAAAATTTACCATTTGAGTCGTCAACAATCGCAGCCCAGTGAGGTACTAACTTCATTCAGAGGATTTTGTTGGCCGTCTACAACGTTTTTTGATAAAATGTTCTCACCTTTTATTTTGTAGGCGATTCAAGCAGCTAAGAAACCAAAGAGCGAAGGCGCGACTGTGGAGAGTGCCTTCCAGGGGACGTCTTTAGAAGGTCTTCCTGGTGTCACCAACTCCTTCTTCCCCTCCACCTCCACATCAGACTCCACAGAAATGTCTGCCATCACGGGCCCATACGGCTTGTACCAGCCTCTCAGTGAACAGTCCAAGTCTTGTAGCTACGACCAGTTCTCCCAGCCGCCCCCCTCAGACTTCACACTGGTCAAACACAAACACAAAGCTGCGGCGGGCTCCGGCGCTGAACACCAGCAAGTTGGTGCAAACGCAGCAGCTTTTTCACGATCGCAGAAAGTCCTGACTCTAGAAAAGTACAGGGAGAAACACGCAGCAGAGCTGGCCTTGCAGAACGGGGTGAAGGAGGAGCTCAACACGGACGTGTACGCGGCCCCCACTGTGGCGTCCCACCACCACAGGAAACGCTCTCAGCCGCAGCAGGCAGCTCAGTCTGGTGAGGGCAGGAGGGAGAAGGCCAGCTCCAAAAAGCCCCGACACGCACCTTCCTACGTAGAGAACGGCTCCGCCGCCGGCGAGGAGTTCAAAATGCGGATTAAAGTTTCGTCTGAAACGTCCGGCAAAGACAAGCACAAAGAGCACAGTGGCCACCGCCACGCCAAACACTCGTATTCCCTCAGCGGACATGGCAGAGGGGCCGTGGACAATGCCTCCTTTTCCGTTCGAGCTCCCAGCAGCCACTGCAACAACGGGAGTTCATCCAGCTCATCCCGCAAGAGACAGCACTCTGACAACCACCACCACTCGTCTAAGAGCAGCAGGTCCTCCAAAGGAGGCCTGGGCTCGGCCCACTACTCGTCTGACGTGGGCCAGAGGATGATGGAGCTCCACGACGGAACGAACGGGATGCTGATGTCCAACGGCCAACACACCGATTACAAAAACACCTTTGACATGCTGGACTCTTTACTAAGTGCCCAAGGAATGAACTTGTAACTCTGAGCCCCTCAGAGCTGTCTGAGATAAGGTATTACCATGTTTTATAAAGTTTAAAARTGAATTTATTTGTCTTAAGTTATCTGAATTCCGCTTCACCCTCGGTCTTGTCCACACACTGATTTCTTGATGATTCTTGTGAAATCCAGAGCCGTGTACTCCTACTTTGCAACACTAAAYGTGTTTGAGGCGTTTTATTGCAGTTAGGATGTTAAAACAAAAAAAGGGTGACAGATTTTAATGTGCATGTTGTTAAGTCACAGAAAGGAAGACACTGCTTTTATTATTTTAACTGTTCGTTTTATTTGAAAAGAAAAATCATCTCAGGTCTTAAAACTTTTTTTTAGGATTAAAAAAAAAACAATATCTTCCTATTGCGAAGTTGGATTTTTCCAGAGTACATTGCTAGTTTGCAACAAATGTAACTCCATTTGCTGTTAAATGGTCCAAAAGGGCCGCGCTCAAAACCTATATCGCAGACTCATTATCGAACTACAGACCAAGTTTAAAACTGCTGTGGAAGTGCATCCAAGACATTGCAGGCTAAATTGCTCGAAAAAAAAAGTCTTGTGATTGTTCTTAGTCAATTTTACTGTTCAGTATAATAAATGTTATCTACAAACAGAAAARTGATTTCTAAAACTGTGTATATAGGACTAGTTCAGAAGTTAAACTGTTGCATCCAGTCCAAACTATTCTGTTGTAATACGAGATCCAAAGTGGACATTGATTGATTTGATGATCGTACCCCTGATTTGTGTACCAGAAGCTCAAATAAATTATACAAAAGGGATTTTTTTACTCTATGGTCATTTTATGTTCTTTAAAAATCTTGTTACTCTACAGATAATAGTCTTGAAAAATATATAGTGACGTTGAAGATCGTTCAGTGTTGGGGTTCCCCAAACAGTGGACCATTTTCTCCATCTAGACCCTAAACTAGGCCATACTTTTGGAAACTGTGGCAGAGGATTGCTATGGATACAAAATATTGTTGCAGAAGATTTGGGTGGTCGAGCCAAGTCACAAAGAAACTGAATGATGAAAGAACAGTATTTGAGTCTGTCCTGGGTTGCAGAGWTAAATGAAAATAGTGAAATTCATTTCAAAAATTTAAAAAAATAAATAAAATAACACGAGCATCAATTGATTTGCTTGACTCATTTTGTTATCCTTTTGTAAGGTAAAATTTGCCAACAGTGCATATCACACATTGAAGATCCCGGGCTTAAACTGCATTTTCCCTCATTGCTTTGGTTTTCAGGTTTTCGTTCACTTGGTCAGCCTTTCTTACAGGTTTCCATTCAACGCTGGTCATCTACAATCCTGCCACTGCTTTCAGGAAGCATTTTTATTAGACCAAGTTTGGTAGGTTTTGACTATTTGTACTGAATAAACTCAAAGATCTGCAGTTCTTGCTAAAGTCACCCCAATCCCTAAAGGCTGCTACGTTCTCCACAATCAGTAAAGTAATTTTCTCACATTTCTGACRTTCAACAGTTCTTCAAACTTGTAATAAGTACAGTGTGTTTGGTCAGAAATTTTAAGTAAATGGTTGATGCCGACGAGAGCAAACATTTTTCCGCTTTGAAGTATGAAATGTTGCACCAGAACGACCTTTGTTCTTGACGCCTCAAGAGAATGAACCATTTTCTTGCARAGCATGCTATCCTTTGGCAAATGGTAAATCTATACATATTTTTTTGTTTTGCTTATCCATGGTTGGGTCACGGAGGAAACAAAACCTATCCCTCTTCCCAATGACACTCTCCAGCTCTTTCTGCGGGCTTACAAGGTGTTCCAGGTGAGAGTGGGTATATTAAATCCCTCCAGGGAGTTCTGGATCTGATCCAGGGTCTCTACTGTACTCCTCAGACATTACTCCAAGCTCCCTCTTGGTTAATGAAGCAGCTGCTTGTAACCAGGATCTTGTTCCTTCGGTTCGTGAGCCATACCCCTTATCCCAGGTGGAGATTGGAACATAGACAAGTAGATTGAGAGCTTCACCAAGACAAACTGGAGTAGGGGTATAGTAACACCTTTATTGATGTTACAATAATAAAGTTTAAAAAATTATCCATATAGGACATTTAGTCTATCAATGCTGCTCAGATGGCATAGATTTTTGCATTATCAGTGTTCAGTAACTAGTCTCACTTACAGGTCATGAAATCTACCCAAAACACTTCAAAAGGCCTTGACTGACTACTGGGTTTAAATAAATGAAGAGTAACAACAGTCCAAACTCCTAACTTAGCTTTGAATGTACATGGGAATGAAAAGAATCGTACAGATGGTTTAATCCGAGCCTCAAAACATTGGATTTCTTCCTCATTTAATTTAAGCCTTCTCTGCGTTTGAAGATAAAGCGATCATTTGTCAAATGCTGCCAAAGACCATTCTCATCAAAACCAAGTGTACCGCACATTTGTACATGTTGTACATGGGTTGTTACTGCATACAGAGTTACATCATTTGGGCCTTATTAATACTGAAGTGGTTTGTAGTTTTGTTGCCGTCACCAATAAGACATGATTGGAAATCCATTTCTTACTCGGTTCTCGCAAAACCAAGAATTTGTCCTCTCATTTGGGTTTTCAGGTTTCGCTTTGGACTCCATCCTTCTCCCACCACGCAGCCTGAACGGTTCACTCGTGGGCGGCACATAAATCCAGTTCCTGATAATTAACCAGTGCCATCTGAGCAGACGCAGYGTTTTCACCAAGTATTACTTTCTAATTTTAGCGCAGAAGACAATGGGGGAAATTCAGCAGGGGGACGTCGGTGAAAACTCGACCATCTGGACGTTTCGCGCATACTTGGAGGGGAGGGCAGTGATTTATTTTCAGCAGCCTCTCGAAACAAACGAGAGACGCCTACTGCTCGGAGAAAAATCCACAGGCGAGGCAGAGCTGCTTKTGTGAGCGACAAATCCCAGAATTAGGAGCCATCTGAACGGGAGAAACACCATCCAAYCCTCTAATTATGAGTTAAAGCGGCACAAAGCAGATCCCACACACAAATAAAATCTTCCTTTAGCCACACAGGTAGTTAATTTCAAGATAATTGGTGATTTAAATCCAATTTCCCTATTTGAATTTGATGTTCAGCTGATCTTTTTGTGGTTGTAAATGAAGATGCTCTCTCCACACTACAACACTGCTTCTTGGCCACCAGATGGCAGTATTACCTTTGCATTTCTGGGCCAGAAAAAGGAAAAACAGCAGCATCCTTTTTCTGCTTCTGAAGGAATTTTTCAAGGAAACAAGATGTTGAATAAAACTCCACGCTGGATTTTATGGTTTAAACCCGAGCTGCCTCTTAGAACACCAACAAGCTCATGCAGAACAACAACAACAAAAGAGAAAAACCTTTTGAATTTGATCCATCTAATTATCAGATTCCGATAACTTGAAGAAATTGCCGGAAGTGTTCCAGCACTTGGTAATTTCAGCCGATCAGAAAGGGCAGCATGTGGTACACTTTAAACCCGTACAAGTCTGAATGCAAATGACGCCCGGGAAATTGTGCGAGGAAAGTGGCATAATTATAAGCCATTGAAAGTCCATTGTCATTTCTGTCTGAGAGGTCTCTCTTGAAAAATCAGGAGCTGATGGAAACCCCTCTAAGTACCTGAGACAGAACCGGATAGTGGGGGTGTGGGGGGTAACTGGGCCCGAGCTGCTATTATACCCTGCTACTGCAATTAGATCTAATGATAGGCAGGAGAATAAATTATGGCGTTGGTTTACATTTTTTTATTTTTAGGTTCAAATACCGCAAAGGTGTCCATTTTTTGGCATTCCTTTAGGCCAGCTGTTCYGAGTGGAAAAACAAGACAGTTTTACTCTAATTATTCTCTTTRCCGGCCCAGTTTGTCTCATCCTCTCGTGGCCCCGACACCAGAGACTCGTGTCTCTGTGGGAACCTCACAGCACCAGATGTCCTTTAAAAAGAAAACAGCTAAAAGAAAAAAAAAATCTGTTGGTGAAATGTCTCTCCCCCCCAAATCACAGTCATCAATTATTCACCGACTTCGACATTTGAACTAATTATGGAGCACTGATGGCCTATTTGAGCTGGGTCCTGTCAGATGAAAGCCTGGTCCTCCCTGACAGCAGCACCGAGTGGAGGCTGGAGCCATTAAAATGAATGGAGAGCTTCTCTAACAGTCACATTTCTCTGACACACACACACACACAATACACAATAATAATAATAATAAGAAGAAGAAAAAAATATGAATTGCTTCCTCACTCTCTTGCAAAGACATGCATAAACATGACGCTGTGCAGCACACACACACGGATGTGCTCGCCACCTGTGTGGGTTGTTTGGCCTCCTCATCCAGACCTCTCTGGTTTTAATTAGCCCGCTGCTGAAGTGTTTTCCTTTTTATATTCTCTGAAGGGCGATGATAACGGCTACAGCCGAGATGGAGGCTCTCCACTGCTTTGTTTCATTAGAGTGCATAACGACTCTGCAATCACAACACCCCCCCCCCTCCCCCAATGATTATTTTCCTTCTAATGGTTCCGTTTCCTTGCTTTTGTCATTGGTGCCTGTTAATAATAGTAATAAAAAAACATACAGGTAACCAATATTAAAGAATGTCAGATTTCCTTTACATATTAAGGCAGGTTATTTTTAGCTTGAGACTGTTTAGTCTKTATGCTAAGCTAAATCAGTTAGCTAAGCTTGGCTTAGCTTAGCAGGAAACCTAAACAGCTATCCTATATATGTGTAGGTATAAATGAATTTTCTAAAGCATGCACGTCAAACTCAAGGCCTGCATCCAACATCCCACCACTAGCTGGGGCTGCACAGGGTTCAAAACTAGCCAGACAAAGTTGTCATGTAAAATCTCCATTTGGCTGAATTTTTGACGACTGCCTTTGCTGTGGCCTGTTGGTACTGGGAATTTCCCACTTACGAGTGGTAAATTTAAACTGGAATAAATTCAAAAAGGCAGCTACTCACCACAACTCAGCAGTGAGTAAAACTCTCTTACTTTTACTTTTATTTAGCCTGGCCCTTGCTTTCCTACGCAGTTCCGCTCAATTCGTTTCTCTTCACTGCTCCATCTGGGACTTCTCCCATAGACAAGGATTTCTTCAGAAGAATTTTCCTCCGGGCCAATCAGAGAACAGAACATCGATTTACTGTGCAGTGTCTGCTTGTAGTTTATTTTATCTGGGCCAATCAGCAAACAGGAGGCGGAGTTTTGAATGACATCAATTTTTCTGCACAGTGTCTGCTAGTTAGTTAGCATTCAACAGTGGAGGAAGTGAATGAAGTCAGTCTGTGTTGATAAGGCTTCTAAATTAAAATAAATTTGTCTGACAAAGCAGCAGCTCTCATTTACAGTCGTCTCGTTCGGCTCGGTACTTCTCTCCTCTCAGTACGGTTGTTTACAGCGCACACAATTTCCAGTTAGCTTCTTAGCTTAGCCTCCTTCCCAGTGGAGCTGACACACACAGGTCATGGCCAACCGATCCAATCATTTTAAACTTCAGCAGAGGCCACGCCTCCAGCAAGAATCACTTCTCTATAGCCAAGAGTCCAGACTCTCATACGAAGCAAAGTGAAAGACAAGGGTCTGGTTTTAACCAGGCTAACTTTTATTRGTATTTTGATAGTATTTATATCACATTTAGTCAGTCATACACATAATACTTTTCAGTGTTYATAAGAGGACGTGTTAAAATGCTATTTCTATGCAGGAAATACCACAGAGAGCTCAGTTATTGTTTGTTAGCGGTGCTGARCTGTRGCAATGACAAGGATTGTGAGGTTTCCTGTTCAGTTAAACACAAAAYGTCAAATTACAGCTGGTCCTTTGAGGGCCACCATCATGCTCATGTGACCGTCTGTGAAAATTAATTTAACACGCCTGTCTTAAAGGCAGTAACTGCATACAAAACTGACAGTTACTAACATTAGATACATGTCTGCTAACATTCGCTGAAGCCAAATACAGACACCTATTAGCAAGCCCTAAAAGCATTAAGTGGTTCTAGTGGGGTATACTTACTAGAAATTGCATTTTTGAGACATTTGAAGTGCATTTTACTGACTTATTAGCATTAATAGAACAAAATCAGGATATTCTAAATTTAATGAAAAGTAAAACACCAATTTACAAC